TCTCAGTGGTGTTGTTTTGTCAAACCAAACACTTTGTCTATTAGTGGTGTTGTTCTGTCAAACCAAACACTTTGTCTCTCAGTGGCGTTGTTCTGTCAAACCAAACACTTTGTCTCTCAGTGGTGTTGTTCTGTCAAACCAAACACTTTGTCTTTCCGTGATGTTGTTCTGTCAAACCAAACACTTTATCTCTCAGTGGTGTTGTTTTGTCAAATCAAACACTTTGTCTTTCCGTGATGTTGTTCTGTCAAACCAAACACTTTATCTCTCAGTGGTGTTGTTTTGTCAAATCAAACACTTTGTCTTTCCGTGATGTTGTTCTGTCAAACCAAACACTTTATCTCTCAGTGGTGTTGTTTTGTCAAACCAAACATTTTTTGCTGTAATCATTTTCCTTTAATCTGCAAATATTAAAGTTTAATTATTTTTTTTATCGTAAGTTCCTAATTACATTCTACCAGATAAATTATATTATCAGTTTTGATATAATATACAGACCCTGGGTGTTCAAAGGTTAGATTTAATCGGTGGTTAGTAAAATAATAATATTTCTGCACTGAACAAACAAATTAAATGCAATATTAAAACTGAAACTTAGACCATTTTCAACGAACCTACTAATGCGAATTGATAAATTATGTCCTAATTTAGTTTAATTCCAAATGCTTAATGATTGTTGCTAACCAATGGTTATATCTAACCAGCTAATGAACAACTGTCTTTAATGGGGTCACTTTATTCTCATTATTTTCTATTTTCTTTAAATTTGAAAAAAAAAAATTAAAAAGATAAAGAGATAAAAGAAAAAGTTGACCTGTTATCAGTATCGATGTAAACTTTGCTGGGATATAGGGTTTAAAGATATACGGGACTGTATTAAACAAAAAATGATTTTGTAAAATTCTGAACCACATATCTTGGACGTGATAATAGTTGATCAAGTTTAACATGCCGGATGCTGTCGATGAAGCTGAAAACGTTTACCGTTCGGGAGCACCTGATCTTTATTTTGACGTCGACTTAGTGTTGAGATTCTGTTCAGGTATTTTTTTTCTCTATTGAAGCGGTATACGACGGCTTGCGATCAGTAGGCGTTAGACTTATCTAGAACGTTCAGGTTTATGTTTTGAGATGCGTCCGACATCACTTCCTGTCGAGCAGACAGTTCCGACTGACACCCATTCATCAGGAAAACATTTTAAAAAATAATACCGTGTAATTTCCATAGTCATTCTATCAGTATAACACATTTTCCGGCTGTTTACCAGTCTGGCCAATAATAACAAGTCTCAAATAGGACATTGATTGGTACGTGACACGCACGGGTTTTATGAGAGATTTGTCGGAGTAGTTTGAGCTCACAGTGGAACGCTACAATAATGACATAATATATAATGTTGCTGTCGAGAAACAATCTACTTCCCCAAGAGAGTGTACCTGCGTTAATCCATCATTGGCCGATAGAACTTAAGCTTTGAATATATCTGTAGAAGTTGTCAACAACAATGTGAAACTAGAATAGAATGGATCGGCGCGAGAGCTCCGTGTCGTCAGATTTCACTCTTTGGATTTTTTGCTTAGTTCGTTATCCTGAATTGTATTTATTCACATGTTCACAATAAAAAAATGTTCGTTGCAGGTGTAATATAATTCCACTAAAACTGACACCTGATTGACCAGAAATGTCTGCAATATACAAAACATTTCCGCTTTTATTATATTTTGATCTTCTGTAGCAAATTTGTGTTACACTGTAAACATACTTCTTCAGCGGTTATCTCAGTGCCTTACGTACTTATAGCGAAGTTATGGATTGGCTATTTGCACTCTCCGCATATCTTTGGTCAAAACAAATATTGCTGCGATTTTTCCTTTTTTCCGTTGGAATAAGAAAGTTTACAGAATTTGTACTGCTTTTGATTTGTGGGTTCAATCTTGTTTATTATATGGTTTTTGTATAAAAATGTTCGCAATGAAATGTAAAGATTTTTTAACACCTTAAAATAACGTTATCATATGGAAAAGGGTTGTGGTGATTATGAGGGAGAACTCAATAAATATGTCCATTTTTTTCAAGTTCACTTTATCATATATTGTAAACGTGTATGTAACACTTATCATGAAAGCACATATCTATCATTGTGCAAATAATATGTGTTTATGGTCCTATAGTAAATTTGGTTTAATGAACAGTATGTTAGGTACAAAATGTAGGTCACGACTTTCATGATCAAACAGAACAAACGCATCAAAGACAATATTAGAATTTGTTTTATTGTTTTATTACATAGATATAGGTTAGTTATATTGTGTATATAAAGATACAAATATTTATCAAGTTGAATTTTGAAATAAAAATATAAACTTTCCCATTTAACATTTAATGTTTACAGTTTCTTTCCCTCTTCAAAAGCTTTTCTTATCCAACACAGATCCACTTTTTATACCTTGGGATCACAACGAGACAAACATTATTTAAATCTATAGCCATCCCGTTCACAGGACGATAATTTGACATAGATGAGCCTGTATACAGAAGCACTTCTCATATTGTATAAAGCTTGAGATTGATGTGCGCAAGGGAATTGTAGATATCACATGGAATCAGTGGAGAATGACGCTAAGACCGAGATTACCAGATGTCGACGCGTTAGGTCGACACCAGACACAGCGGTTCTCACCATATTCGCTTAGATTTCGTCACCAAGATAAATGTAGATGTTATATCTACCATCTTTTGCAACTTGATATTGGAGCGAGAATGACTCTAGGTATCAGACACAGCATATTGGTACGAAAGTCATTTCCTCTAACCTAGAAGCAGCAGGAAGTCACATGATGAATAACATAATCACAGACACTGTGTTCTACTACTGACGTCATCGGTAATGTCGTCTGGCTTTATATACTCAGACCAGTCCTGGAGCCATAGCTACTGAAATGTTTCTGGTGAGAGTCACTGCATGTAGTGACACAACACAGATAACTGGGAAACTCAGAGCCTTGGTCAGGGTAATCCCCGATATCATTAGACCTCTTGTGACAAGACCCAAAATTGCAGTCCTTGGTTATGTATGAAGCTAGCATTTTCACGCAGTGTGTTTAAAAGATAATGAAAGCTTTTCCTAGTCCTGTAAATGTGTACAAAATCTAACAAACTATATATAGTTAGAGTCGATAGCCATTGGTTCCAAATCCTCGTTACTCCGCGGGTTACGATCAATTTCGCTCTCAGCACCCCTGAAACGTGTCATTACAAAATTGAAGACACGCGCGAAGTAATTTGACTGGTTCCAGGAGAATAAATACTGACCAATCACAGGTCGATGCGATCCTTTTGAAGATTACAAAGGAGCGACATTACAATATACCTATATGCGATTCGTTTGATGTACATCAAAGGATCAAACTAGTTTTTTTTGTTTTGTCCACATTGTGTCGCACATAGAACCTCCAATTTTGCCATGACATGTTCGGGGTGTAGAGAGCGAAAGTGATGGTTAACCCCTGGAGTATCGAGGATGGTTCCAGGGGTGCAGAGAGCGAAAGTGATGGTTAACCCCTGGAGTATCGAGGATGGTTAAAGGGTTGCAGAGAGCGAAAGTGATGGTTAATCCCTGGAGTATCGAGGATGGTTAAAGGGTTGCAGAGAGCGAAAGTGATGGTTAATCCCTGGAGTATCGAGGATGTTGGTTATAATTGCATGATGATCGGGTGGCGCAGTGGTAACGTATTGGGCTTTCAAATTTAACTCTTGGATTCCATTTCTGAAACGGACGTGAAAAGGCACTTGTTACCTACTCGACCATGTGGGCATTCCCGGATTCTACAAATTCCTCCCACAGTGAGTCCCCTCGCGCACTTACGCCCACGCCAAGAGTGATTGAAATAAGACGGAGTAACTTGTTTCACAACTGTTATGATTTTTAAGATACTTGTAAGATGTAATTAATGAATGAATGTAGTTATAACTTGTACCGTCTGGGTGAATCACCGATGAACCAGCAGCAGGGCCATACATATTTCAATGCAGCAGCTGGTCTGTTGACAATATTACAACGTAGATCAGAACCGATTATGTAAATAGCTATACTTAAAAGTCGATTCTCACCATCATTATGATTGGACTGCATCGACGTCGACTGTGCCAAGCACGGTTGTTTGAAATATATTCATATATCGTGACTATTATATGTTTAGAGTACAATGACACCGAAAACTGTTTGCTTTTCTTGGCCCTTGACACGTATATATGTCCTTGACACATGAAGATTGTTGGTCCTTGCCATGATGAACGACAAAGACCCCAGACATGTTGTTGATATAAACTGTTGTCTTTCCAAGTTTCCTCTTACATAACCCCACCTACGCCCTGATCAGCTAGATGTGGATAGTAACACCTGGTGATTTTGTACAGTTACATCTAAACAGACTATAGAATGTTATGAAGAAGATCAATATATTCCGCAGATCTCCAGTCGGGTTGGCAGTTACGTTATCACAGTATGAATATTTATATACGAAATGCACCAAGTAGACAATAGTTGAGCACTGTGCATGAGATTATGCAATAAATTGAGAACCATGTCAATATGTCACGCATTCACAAAAAATCCATAAAGTCACCAAACATCTTCCACGTAGTACAAACATTTCAAATAAAAGAATTTAACACAGAGCAAACATTGACACAAAGTCCGACATAGCACATATCATTTCACGTAAACATGTTGTATATAGTTTCAGTGTAAGTCAGTTATCACAGACATTATCACAGATTATAGGCCAAATTGTTTCGCAGTAATTTCCTGCCGTTATGTGCTTATTCATTGTTATCACAGGTCGTGGTAACAAAGATATGAACCCATCACTTAACTACCGCATTGTATAGGTGATGGGGCATTTTCTTCATCGTAATTCATCTGTAATGTTTCGTCATATTATAGACATTTGGAATTATACTAAAATTACGATCTTAACATATCATATGTTCCTTTTTATCAAAGGTAAGTATATTTTCGAGCAAATGGATCGTGAATGCCTGATTGTACGTAGCCATTGTCATTAACAGGCCATGCACTATTCTCTCGCTGTAGTCCCGGGTACACGCTTTGTTCGCCCTTCACGTGCGTGAACAGACTGTGTGCACCGTCAGCTATCTGAGGCTCGCTGTACGGCGGCATGCAAAGTCGAACCTTGTCCAGGAGGTGACCAGGCCAAAATGCATTCTGATTCGTTGTACCATGTAGCTGCTGGTACCTAATGGCCAGGTGACTGTAATCACAAATATAAAAGGACGAATACTGATTAAGATCATTCCTTCATCAAACATGTACACATAAAATCTGAATATGGTAAAAAATTTAATACGAATTAATAGATAAGGAAAGATATGAAAAACGATCATTTCGTCTTAACAAAAAGCACAACAAGGTCACAAGTTTACCAATACAAAGCAACATTTCATCGATACAAACAAAATCAGATATCCATCATCGTTACGGTTTATACTGGTGAAGAAACATTTGATACCGAACCTCAAACATTCAATCACATGACAGTCATTTACCTACAGGAAAATAAATTTGACATTTATCACCAATCCCAACAAACCAGCACTTGAATGGCCTTATACCTGTACACTTCTAAATAAAATCTACACAGCCAATCACCAAACAATGATATTGTCTACACCAGCACCTGAATGGTTTTAAACACTTCTAAATCAAATCTACACAGCCAGTCACCAAACAATGATATTGTCTATACCAGCACCTGAATGGTTTTATACACTTCTAAATAAAATCTACACAGCCAATCACCAGACAATGATATTGTCTATACCAGCACCTGAATGGTTTTATACCTGTACACTTCTAAATAAAATCTACACAGAGCCAATCACCAAACAATGATATTGTCTATACAAGCACCTGAATGGTTTTATACCTGTACACTTCTAAATAAAATCTACACAGAGCCAATCACCAAACAATGATATTGTCTATACCAGCACCTGAATGGTTTTATACCTGTACACTTCTAAATAAAATCTACACAGAGCCAATCACCAAACAATGATATTGTCTATACCAGCACCTGAATGGTTTTATACACTTCTAAATAAAATCTACACAGCCAATCACCAGACAATGATATTGTCTATACCAGCACCTGTATGGTTTTATACACTTCTAAATAAAATCTACACAGCCAATCACCAGACAATGATATTGTCTATACCAGCACCTGAATGGTTTTATACACTTCTAAATAAAATCTACACAGAGCCAATCACCAAACAATGATATTGTCTATACCAGCACCTGTATGCATCTATTCTCCAAAACAGACTTAGTGTATGTAATGAAGTCCATCATCACCACTTTATCATTTTACAGTGAGGAGTTGATGCAGAAACCTTTCCATCGACATTGATTATTATAGGGGCACTACCAGAAAGTGTTTAATATGTAACCAATTACATTCTATAGACCGACTATTAACCCCTTCGTATGTGCTCTAAACAGCTTGTACAGCAAACCCAGGGCAGACGTGATGATTTCTGTACTAGAAATTAAAACGCAATCAATCGGTATCAACTGGCAATTATCTGCCTATAAAAATCCTGGACCCAATTATTGCCAGAATATCACACACTAGATAGTAGGGGAAGGAAGCACGAACACTTACACGTGGATAAGCCAATATAGTCATCTACCTGTAGGTTATGACAAGGAATGACAGAAGGGATATTTATCTCTGAATCATTAGTCCAAACCCGGCAGCGGGGATGATTATTTTATCAACGAAGTCGGCGTGTGATGCTCTTTTAAACGGCGAGAGAGCAAGTACAAAGGTATACAGAAGTAATTGTATTATATCACGGGCATAGGTCTACAGCATTTGACACAAGTCGAGTAAATTTTGTTGGGATTGGGTAACAGATATTACGTAGGATATCGATTCTTTCTGGGTTTCATTATAAATGCACTTGATCAGAAACGGTGTCACACCTTTACCAATCAAAATCAAATATACTCAAGCGGTGTCACTCAAAGAAGTAAAATAAATCACCGAAGTAAGATAGATACTTGTGCACTTTCGGCATGTTTACTAGTATGGTGCTCTGATGTATCCAGGTACACCATGTTGTGTGGAGACAGATGGGTATACACAGAATGGCAGAGGTAAAATCACTTAAGAAATGAGAGAAACATAAAGATAAGCAGTCCAAATTATTCTGACGTTCTATCGGCTTTCAACATCAGTCTGGACTTCAGACCGACACAAAAAGTCACTAGAACGTCAGAATAATTCAGACTAGAAGACAAAGTAAATGATTAAATTAGACGAAGAATGAAGACAATAGATAAAACCATAAATCAGCGCATGGAATGATAAAGAATGTCAAAGACACGAAAGTACAGTTAGACCATTTAGTGTACAGGGAACGTATGGGAGGATAAAGAATGTCAAATGACACGAAAGGACAGTTAGACCATTTAGTGTACAGGGAACGTATGGGAGGATAAAGAATGTCAAATGACACGAAAGAACAGTTTTATTTCTAAGTGTTCAGGGAATGTCTGGAATAAAATGTCAAAAGACGAAGAATTCACGGAATCGGCTATAACAGGGTCAGTGGAAGAGCATCAGATTCAAGTTTGTAAAGTAACCGAGACAGAGGGAGAAGTGTCAGAGGTTGATAGAATCTCGCTGTTTAAAACATACCAACTAAATGGAAAACAGAAACTGAAAGCCAAACATAGAGATATATAAGGAGGGTGGAGAAAATTAGGAAAAGACATGAGGGCCCAGAGTGGTTAGGAGATGGATTAGAGAGATAGGTAGGCAAGGATTATAAATATAGGGATATCATCTAGTATGTTTTGCTTGGGAAGGATTAGGGATTAAGGAACAGGAATAGTTAAGAAGGATTAGAGATATGGAGATCATTAGAGGAAGATTAGGGACAAAGGGCAGTGAATAGTTAGGAGAAGGGATCAGTGGAAAGTATAGTTTCTGAAGGATTAATGATAAGAGGATAGGTAGATATATATTTGTTTTACAGAAGAACTACTATGGGGATAAGAGGATGTAAAATAATAAATATTTAAGAAAATATCATCTTGATCTTTTCCTACAATATTACCAACATGGACAGCTTTCCAACACACTGTGCTATCAGCATAATTTCAATTTCCCTATTGTGAATTTTCGATTTCTGAATATAGCATTCTTGCATCCCCAACCTATTTCCCTGTTTTCATGTCACAATTGATTTGATATGAAGGGCCTGTTTCCAATCTTAAGATGCCGTCAACTGACTGACAAACTCATAACACAGGATTTCAAAAGATGCAGATAAATTAGAAAAAAGTGGGAGTTTTACAATCCTCATAGAAATCTCATTGAGAAATATTTAATTCTTTGTGCTATGAGAAGTTGGAGGTGTTTGACGGTCGTTTGTTGGTTCCGTTGTTGTATACTTTGTTCTTGTTAGAGAATGTAACCCTACTTATTTGGATTGACTAAGGTTTACATGGCAGGTGTTGTTGATGAAGTAGAAGATGCTTACTCTTCTGAAACACTTGTCTTATTTTCCTTGTACTTTTCAGGGGTCTCCATGTAAATCTTTCTTTTGTTTATATTGTGCACAAGTTTTTTCATTGTGATCATGTTCATGAAAAGAGAATTGATTTGTTAGAAAATTTGGTACATGGAGGAGAAATTGGTGGGATGGGTATAAGTAAGTACAGAAAAATATCTGACCTAACCAGAAAAATCAAATAATACCAATAAAAAAAGTACATTAACAAAAAAAGTCAATGTAACACTACATAGAAAATAAATATATTGACAACAATTCTTACCAGAACGGTGTAGAAACAAGGGGTCACTACATTCACAGCAAACAAGCATGATATTTTAAATAGGACAGTCAACTTTTACAGATACAAGGACTGGATGTCACACATAGGGGAGGTAACTGTTGATCCAATGTTTTGTTGTCCAGAAATTGATCACAGATTGGAAGATGATTTGCAAACAGTTATTAAACCAATTGATTTTACAATTTAATTAACTAGTTCAAGTTTACACTTTGTCTCATTCAATACATAGTGATGAAAAAATAGAACATGTAGCAGGTACTTTACTGATATCTACCTAGTACATTTAGTTTATGTTTTCTTATTGCCAAAGTAAACTTTAAGGCCATAAAAAAGATAAATAAATCAACAAAAGTGAAACTAGATTTGTGGTGACATAAGGAGACCAATATCTTTTATATTTTCTTTTCCAAAGAACAATCCATCGGACATTTATTTACAGGTAGCTCATTAAGTAATTATTGTTCAATACAAATCTGTGTACGGTTTTATAGGCAGCTGAAACATTTCTGTTTTATAAAGATTGCCCAAGTGATAAGAGCATGACGTCAGAAAAAAATTACCTTGTGAGTTTGTCATACTCCTCAAACGTCATCCAGCAGTCAACACGACGTCTGATGACTGCCTTGCCTGTTGACAGGTTTTCCTTTGTGCCAGTTGCTGCCACCGTTGACCGTTGAGGGTACTTGTGACGACTATCAATGAGAAGTTTACCACTGCGAGACCTACGCACTTTATCTTTGTGCTTGACTTCTATTGGTGTACGGGGTCGCTTTGGTGGATCAGCGTGGTGACTGGACAATAAAGGTGCACCAGGAGTCTTGACTCGTCGCTCAATGGATACTCTAGGATGATCCGGTGGATGAAGAAGCACTGAAGCATAAAAAATAAATAAATACTAAACATTAACATGTATGAGATTTACTCGCACCTTTATCTATTTGTGTAAAGGATTTTGGAAACAACATAAATAGTAATTTCATTATCAGTATAACAGATATTTTCCTTCTTCCTGTATGTCATTTATACTTCTTACTTAGAACTTTTCATACTGTTGATGTTCCTTTACCCTCTATAAAAGTACTCACCTCTCTCCAAAAGAGTTTTACTGAGTGGAGTGTTCTGAACCTGACACATACGTGTTATCTCATAGTATTCCTTCAGTTTAAGCTGTCTATACTTGTCAATCATAGTTGCAGTTTCACCCTGCAGTGTTGACTTCATACAGTGATTATCAATGGCACGGTCCCCCACCTTGATGATACCTGGGGGCGTGTCTTCTTGCTGTTTCTTCGGAGACTGTCAACACAAATATACAATCCCTGATACTGGAGACCAAGGCTCTTGTTAAACATAGGGAAACAGAAAACCTAACTATGACATATCAGATGTATGTACAATATAACAAGGACTGTCAGAAATAGGTTATGCTCACCAAATGGAACAAAACTTAAATATGAAAATAATAAAAGGTAATAAGAGAGTTATGATTCTTGTGCACTGCTTTCCCTTTTGTTGAGATCTATCTATGAAGTTTCACACGATACTTCTTATAGTTCTTGTGTTATGCTCCAGACAAAATCATGATGAATAGACAAATGGACAGATGGACGGACAACACATATCAACATGTTGCTAGATTTCTTTTCCTTTTTTTTACAAACATTTACAAGATGATAATAGTCACTCAATGTAAAAATAAACAATTAACATATCATTTTTTCTTATCAACAATGTCTTCCTTCTTTCAAATGGATCGTTTTGAAATGGTGCCAGAAAAATAAAAAACAATTTAACCATCAAAGGTAATATTTGGTCAAAAAATGTATGTTTTCCCTATTTATAAATTATTAAGAGATTAGTTAAAAGTATGTTATATACAGAAAGAATCACTGATGTAAAATATTAAAAAAAAATCCTGATTTATATAGGCACTCTCTCACACAAACCCATATTGAGTGTACAGTCTCTACCTTCACCCACCTAAAGTACAAGAGACTTTAAAAATCTCTCTCACTTATAAATCTGCATTGAGTCACTGAGCCACCACCAATTTGCTTCTGCACTACCAACTTGTTATTAAGCTAGAAATTCCATTACAGTAAACACAAAACATTTTATTATTAAAGGTTAACTTTGTTTAAATTTATAGGTACATTTAAAATGAAGCTTCATATACCTTTATACCTTAGTTAATATCCCAAACACTGGTTACACTTGAATACCTTACAAAAGCTTGAATTACCCTCCTCAACCAAATTCACATGTCAAAATAACAGCCCACAGTAAATAGAGTTGACTTTACCCATGGACGATCCAACTCCAGATCTGACAAGACAAGATCGTCAGACAGAGGATCTAGATCTTGTAGTCTAAGTGCTTCCTGACAACAGTTACAAAGTATTAATTGCAGATTCTACTAACAAGACAACATCTTCAGACTGAGGTTCTAGATCCTGTATTTACAGTCTCAGTACTTCCTGGCAACAGTAACACTCTACTACTCATTATGTATAATGAAACAAATGAATATTATTTGCCTGTATAAATTTGCAGTTAGCATAAATTTGAATACCAGAACATATAAATTTGTTGAATTTGATTTTAATTCATTTACAATGACTAGTTATCCACCATACAAGTTTATCTGTTGAAGGACATTAATTAAGCTTCACAGGTAATTAATTTCATCAACTAACATATGAAATTATAAAAAAAAAACTTAATAATGTTGTATTTTACATATATGAAAGTATTTATATTCCCTTATATAAAACAGGAACTGCTGTTATACATATATTTAATCATACTTAGCCTACCATTTTGAGGGTGTGGCTGGATCCCTTTAAGGCTTCCCTGTCTCGTTTTCGTAAATCAACCATGGCTTCATCAGATTTGAGTACCATCTGTTCAGGCCGAGTATCAATCTCTGGTGGATGTAAGAACTGTGGAGTGCTACTGCGACTTTGAGTATGGACAGTACGACTACTACCTTGAGCACTCTCCTTACCCGAGTCCAGCCTCTTCTTACCTCCATCAACATCACCCTCTACTGTTGTAGTCTGACCCTCTGGTCTTGATTGTTCAGTTCCAACTGAGCCCTGTCCAGCTGACTTGGCAGACTTTGAGGCAGATCGTACACTAGACTTGGCAGACTTGGAGCCAGAGACTACAGTAGCTTTGGTGAGGTCAGATACTTCCCTTTCTGGACCAGTTTCTAATGCTGGTTGAGGTGAACCTTGCATGATAAACAACAGAAGAGTAATGACATTACAGTAATGTAATTAGCTGTGATTAATAAACTCACAAATTCATTTAGATATATATATATATTTGTCAATTATTCAATCTTTGGGTTCATGCACTCACAAAAGACAACTAGATCTTTTGAAAAGTAAATGGCTAGTAAAAAGTGTTGCATACTCTTCTTGTAAATGTTTACTGATAGTTCCAGATAACCAGCTTCAAAATTGTAATTGAATTTGTTGATAATCACTACTTGGTATCCTTCTGTGGACTGCTATGGCATCACAAAGACATGTACCTGCGTGGGACCCTGAACCTTTTGATGACAGAGATGTTGTTTCCCTCGAGAGTTCCTTACGCCTGTTCTCACGGCGTTCTCTGTGCCAGTTTTCAAGTCCTCTAGCCAACTCCTTGTAATCCAGCTCTTCATCAAAATCAGCATCAAGGGAGAGAATTAGATCCTCCAGCAAAGGCTCTGACAGTGGAACCTTGGACTGTAAACACACAAGGAACCTTGGAAATACAAACTCTGCCGATATGATGAACTAAAATGAATGTTTCAATAATTCATGTATATATATATAGTGAAAATATGATGAATTCTCTGTGCCCAGCAAACAAATAAAAAATTAGAAGACTAGAAAACATGATGAGCTGCATTATTAATGACGTCACAATTGTATCTATGTACACAATGTAAAACATCTGAATAAGAAATGAAAGCGCTTATGTTTTACAGCTCATCGTGTTTTCCAGTCTTTTAAATTTTTTTATATATATAGGTTTTGAGATAACAAAAATTATTTATATTGCAGTTTCTTTGACATATTGATAGGAAATATTACATACCTGTCGAATGGATTTCCTGAACTCATCCCGTGATAATTTCCAATTCTTGTCTTTATCTGTTTGTGTAAACAAATCAATAAGTCTCATTTTGTTCCGTTTAAGAAAAAGGTCTAATATACGTATACCCAATGGTGAGGGCACCTTGACACTGGGAACACTTTTGATCTCCGCACTTATTGGGGTTTCTGGAAGTGGAGCCATCTCCACTTCCTTTGGCTTCCTCTCCTGTTCCATACGGTGCAAGACACGCTTCTCCAACGCAGTTTTCTTAGGCTTATTTCTCAACCAATCTTCACTAAGTCCCATATTTTCTATGTTATTTCGAAACTTCTGCCTTTCTTGAATCCATTTTTTGTACTGAAATTCTTTATCCTTTTCAACCTCTTTTTGTATTTCTTCTGGGTCGTATTCCGGTTTATCTACCAAGGGCTCTTGAGGCTGTATTTCTGTGTTGATAGAAATTGGGGCAGGTTTGGGTTTCTGGTTCAAATACAATCCTAGTCGGTGTCTCATTTTTGTTTCCATTGGAGGAGCAACAATAACCCTTTTTCTGCTCAGTGGGCCACCAAATATCTTCACAGCTGCTTTGTAATGTTTGATATGTGGCAAATCTCTGTGTTTGAACAGACTCATACGTTCATCCTCTGGAATGTGATCCAGGTTGTACTCATCAAACAACCGTTGCAGAGGGAAAGTGATGTCTGAATCCATGGCGTCCACAGGACCACCCCTGTGTGGAGGCATGCTGATTATCTTTTTTGATGATAAAACTAACTAAAGTACTGCTTTCCTAACTCTATGATTGCACGGTACAACATTGCAGACTGAACAACAAGCACTGCATACTGTAACTGGGTATTCTGTAAAGAAAGATGACACAATTTACTAATGATATTGTAAATCAAAACTTGAGATTAATCATTAATGGTATTTTGAATTACTAATAAGGACATGCAAACATGTACAGTCAGCACATTAATGTAATAATAATTAATCTATCATCTCCTTAAGTGGTGTAAACTATGTTCCTCGCCAGACTTATCTATATTTATGTCTGTAGTCCCCCTAGTTTTGCGGGTTCTTTTATGATTGTAAAATAGACAAGTGGTTGACAGGGAAGTTGCGCTCGACGTTCCAGAACAATTATTGATATATCACATTGTCTTTCCGTTAAATAGTATACTTAAAGCAACAGTTACGACACCAGATCAAAAGCGAAGTCACTTTCCATTAAGTACCACGCAAATAGGGAACATAACACACATGAAATTGATTATCTCATGCAGCCACATGTACACAATGTACATTTTATACATTTGTGCACTTGTAATTGACGTTTGATATCGACAATGTTTATACAGACTGGCAAGGTGACTTTATTTGTTAATGAAATTTATTTCGATCTTACAGCTTAATCTATATTTTCTGATATCTGACAATATCTAAAGCCGGCTGATGGGATGATATTTCTTCAAATGGTTTTGCTACTGTTTGATAAAATTGCAGTAAGTTACGGAAATTTTTAAAAGGAATGACAAATGAACAGATTAGTTTCATATAAACATACATATTTTCGTAATACAGTATTCAAATGCATGTGATTGATATATATATATATATATATATGAATCAATTTACGTAGATCACCTTAACGATGCCTTTAAACCTCGAGCATTTCACTTCAGTCGCTTCGAGCCGTCCACCGCCATCTTTGTTGCTCCATAAACAACTCGGTCGCGCCATCTACACATTTTATCAAGGGACGTGATTGTGTAGATTGACATCCAAGTTATCTCCCCTTAATCAATGTTTCGATCAAAGTTAAAAAGAATCGCATAACACTACTGGTGAAAAAGACTACATGAAAAATGTTTTGTACTTTTAAACGTGCTGCGAATTTTTGAATATATTAATAATAACAATAACGTTTGCAAATAATAAACCATTAGAAAAATAGATATAAATAAAACCTAATGAAAGATCAACACATTTGAACATAATGGAAACTTACAGAACATGTTCATCATTTTAGAAAATGTCATTTAATAGACTTCCGAACTGCGGAAAAGGTTCCCACGTGCACGTACAAAGTTCTTTCTCAGTTGAGAAAGCCCAATTTGCGGCATTTAAGAAACTAACATCATGTCAATGTCCACTCGTAATAATGCTTGTTATGGCGGACTTAGATATCTAAATCTCGCGTTGTTTAAGTGTGGAGCCTATTTTGATCTCGTATGAAATACATGAATGTTTATTAAAAAAAAACAATAGATAAATAAAAAGATTCAATATTCACATGGTTTACTTTAAAGTCGATTTTTCCCAAATAAGTTGTCAAAATCATACTTTAAATATTTCATGAGGCACATGATAATGCACGGGGCATCATGAAGATTTGTCATTTCAAATAGACCGATGAATGAAATCGGACGGTGATCTCCCAGAGTTACGTACTGCCCATTGTCTCACTGTAGGTTTAGGAGAAATGGACATGAGGTATACGTAATAAAAGTGGCATGGATATAACGTCATCCGATAGGAGATGACTGATTAAGTGTACCATGAACGTAAATAGAAATTAATCTGTATTTATTATTTGATACGATTCTAAATAAAAAAGGTTGATAGCCTTATCGAAATCGACCTGCCGAATATTGAGATATTGACGTGTGAAGTGAACGGTTTTCAGGCATGGAACGTCTGAAGTTCAACAACTGTAGTAGCCATCATAGACGATTTAAGAGAGGTCGAAGATAGCCATGGTATGCAACGACTACATAATGCTGCAAAGGATAATTTTTTTATGTTTGATGAACTAGATCATGCTGACGATAACATTTTGTAGACGGTATCCAGACACACGAAAGCATACAGAATTTCTAAATGACATAGTAATTCGTTATACACGGTGGTAACGTTACGATCCAAAAATGTAAACGCTTGTTTTTTGTTAATGATGCGATGTATGACTATTTCCAATATATCTTAATTGACGATATTGTACACTCCTTGTGTTAGGTCGTCAATTCTAATAGCCATGGAAATACCCACATTACTGAATTACATCACCGATTAAAGAAACTAGGCCGAGTGGTGACTACTCTGACGACAGTTTTTGAGTTTGCCCCGCTTCTCACTGCTGTGCCTTTATGTTGTGGTTAGTGTGTATACCTAACACTGGCCCGACCTGACCAGAGCCGGTTCGACTACCAGTGAGAAGTGAAGAGCATTTTGTTAACAAATATTATACTGATAAGGAAAAGTAGTGTATCACCAAAGTTACACGTGTCAATCGAAAAATTACTCATTTGTAAAAGTCATTTATTTAGATACGGTTTTCTCCATTTTCAGGCAGAAAGTGGTATACCGTGATGAAGGACATTTCTGCTGTAAATATATCAAAAGTGATCAGAAGTTATTGGTCACAAAAGATAGCACAAACAACTCGACGATTATCAAAGTTTTCTAACAGTTTACTTTGAAGATTTTTTTAAATGTATTTACGGAGAAAAAATTATTTCAAAAAACAGCAAAGCTAGTTAACTTAATTTCTTCGTTACAGCGTTAGAGGTGTACATATAGGAAGTTTCTTATCTCTCTGTATTGTAATTCATGTTAAGCATATTAGTTAGTTAATGAAATAATCTCCAGTCACTTCTTTGGGCAACTTATGTGTAAAATTTGTGTACAGGTGAATAACACTTAACACAACCGTGTCACCTGTTGTCATAGCATGAGGGGCCAATATAAACCTTTAGACCTGTATCAAGGTACGACAACACAGGTATGTCATCAACAAACGGGACAGGGGTAATCTGATCTTCCAGTTCGTTAGAGGATTGGTGGAGACACGCACGTAGAATATGTATCTAGGTCCGTGGCAAGATAACGAGATGTTAAATGACGTCCAGTTTGAAGAAAGATAAACAACATTTGATGGGTAAGCCTGAAGGCAACTTATGTTACAAATACTACATGCTTGTTCTACGGGCTTAAAGTTTGAAGCCTGTGAGTATTGATATCGTCTCCTACATTTATAATTGCTGATACAAATACTCGTATTATTGTTCATTATGAGTGTAAATTACTATTGTTCCAATCGTATGTCACCACTTGTAACAAAAGGTTTCAAAAGATGCAGATTGAATAAAGTTATGGGGAAGTTTTGCATTCCTCATAGTGATCTCATTGAGAAATATTCTATTTCTTTGTGTGACGTGAAATTAGATGTGTTTGATGCTCGTTAGTTTGCCTGTTGGTTCCGTTGTAGTATACCATGTTCTCTTTTGAGAACGTGACATTACTTACTTTGGTTGACCAAGATCAACATGGCGGGTGTCGTCGATGAAGCAGAAGACGCTTTCTCTTTCGGAACAGCTGGTCTTATTCTTCTTGTCCTTTTCCAACATTCTCCGTGTAAATCTTTTGTTCAGATATTGTCCTAGATTTGTTGAATTTGAATTTGAATTATGATTATGTTGACATGTTGGTATATTCTTGCTATTTCTTGTAATTAAAAGCTGGGTTAGGCTTTCTTAGCTTGACTGAATTTCTATTCGGTTGATCAGTGTTGTATAAATTAAAGTCCACAAATCTTCAAAAGATTTATTTGATAATGAACAGTTACGTGATTAACGAAAACTCGGACTGATCAAAATTTTAAGCACCTGCATGTGTATAACAAAGGATATAACATCATCTGTTGATGGAAGATGGCTGAAGCCTTGACCAGTATAGAACACTATGTGTCAGATACAACATCATCTGTTGATGGAAGATGACTGAAGCCTTGACCAGTATAGAACACTGTATGTCAGATATAACATCATCTGTTGATGGAAGATGGCTGAAGCCTTGACCAGTATAGAACACTATGTGTCAGATACAACATCATCTGTTGATGGAAGATGGCTGAAGCCTTGACCAGTATAGAACACTGTATGTCAGATATAACATCATCTGTTGATGGGAGATGACTGAAGCCTTGACCAGTATAGAACACTGTATGTCAGATATAACATCATCTGTTGATGGAAGATGGCTGAAGCCTTGACCAGTATAGAACACTGTATGTCAGATATAACATCATCTGTTGATGGAAGATGGCTGAAGCCTTGACCAGTATAGAACACTGTATGTCAGATATAACATCATCTGTTGATGGAAGATGGCTGAAGCCTTGACCAGTATAGAACACTGTATGTCAGATATAACATCATCTGTTGATGGGAGATGACTGAAGCCTTGACCAGTATAGAACACTGTATGTCAGATACAACATCATCTGTTGATGGAAGATGACTGAAGCCTTGACCAGTATAGAACACTATATGTCAGATATAACATCATCTGTTGATGGAAGATGGCTGAAGCCTTGACCAGTATAGAACACTGTATGTCAGATATAACATCATCTGTTGATGGAAGATGGCTGAAGCCTTGACCAGTATAGAATATAACATCATGTGATGTCAGATATAACATCATCTGTTGATGGAAGATGGCTGAAGCCTTGACCAGTATAGTCAATATAACACTCTGTTGATGTGTGAAGCCTTGACCAGTATATAACATCAACATCATCTGTTGATGGAAGATGGCTGAAGCCTTGACCAGTATACAACACTGTATGTCAGATATAACATCATCTGTTGATGGGAGATGGCTGAAGCCTTGACCAGTATAGAACACTGTATGTCAGATATAACATCATCTGTTGATGGGAGATGACTGAACACTGCAGATATAACATCATCTGTTGATGAATAGAACACTGTATGTCAGATATAAAATCAA